GATGGTCCTGAGGTTTCCCTCAGGTGCAAAAACAAAGGTGGAAAATGAAAGTCGTTTTTCGACAGATAAAAATACCTCATTTTACTCAGAATTTAATGCTGATTCCGAATATGTAATTCTTTTTCAAACATATTTTGAGCAAAAAAATGGCCTTACCGCCGCTTGTCCTTTGGTTGATACGTTGAAGACATTTAAAACACATTATTAGAAGTTGATCATTCAGCATATATACCAGGCATTACGGTAAGTCAATTTGTTTTCCAAATGTTAATACATTGAAATCTTCAATACCGATTTTATTCAATGCTGCACACATTGAAAGTAAAATATCAACTGATGAAAAATACGTTGGTCCAGTCATCGACACAGATTGATCTAGACGTAGAGCAATACGATATTCTGGTTTTTGTGTACCAATTTGATTTAAACAGATTCGATTATATTGTCCTTGTGTACAAATAAATTTTACGATACCAGGAATATATAAACGATTTCCACGTGTATCCGGCAATGATTGTGTTGGTTTATATGCTGGAAAAATATAATCTTCCATTGTTCGTACTAATTCACTAATATCAGTTTCGAGTTTTTGTTCAATTTGTTGAAGAATTGTATCCGCATGAGAAAGTATTACATCATGTGTGTCTAACTTCGAATAACTTTCATCTAGTGATTTCATTGTTGAATCAAAATTTTTGATAAATTCATTTGAATCATTCGAAAAATCAATATCCATCTGTTGTTGAAGTGTTTGCTGTTCGAGTTTTCGTCGAAAATCACTGACATACAATTGGCCGGTATAGGCTATTTCAGCATGTGTCCATGATTCCACATTTCTCGGATTAGACAAAGGGAATGCGTGTAAGCAAGAAAATATTGTTCCAGGGTTAGTCGATGTTGTTGTTGTTCTATTGGCAAAAACGAGAATCGATTGTTCAATAATATTGAAAAGATCATCGAAAACTATTTTTGTCAATATATTCAATTGTCCAATTTCGATCAGTTGATTACGACCTGGTGCTACACGTTGTACGAATTCTTTGACTTTCTTCTCATGTTCTGTAGCGAATTGTTTATATTCATTAGTGTATTTCGTATCATCGGCTTTCGGTAATTCCGGTATGATACAAATCATGTAAAGATCAGCTTTTGCCTTTGCTAATTCTCTTGTAAATAATTCTGTATCGGTTTGAGATGAAATACCATCGGTTATCATAATAATAAAACGTTTGACATTTGGTTTAATTCCACTACCAAATAAATCTCTGTTGTCAGCAATTTGTTTTAATGCTGTTGCTGGCAATGTCTTTTCGTCGGTAGTAAACGATTCAAGAATATATTGTTCTGTTATGATCTGCCATTCCTGGCAGCTCATAAAACTGTGTTTTCTTCTTCTTTTCCTTTCTTTCTGCTCTTGCGCAATACTTGTGTCATGCTCTGGTTTTCCCAACTCTTTCTGTTATTGCGCAATTACTGCGCAACTCTTACATAACTGTTGTTCAACTTATGTACTATATATAGCCGTTCACTTTCTTAAATAAAGATGAGAAGTGAGTGAGTAGAACCTCACATGTTCACGTGCTATTAATATTTGTTCAAGACTTGTTGTTGTTATTGTTGTTGCTGTAGCAGATGTCGGTGCTCGAACTGTATCATGCATCGATTCACGTCCAAGTGCTTTGAGAATTTTTTGTTCGGCACCAAACCGAACAACGGCAAATTTCCATTCGAGACGATGAAATGTTTCCATTAGAATAACTAATATATTTAAAGCTTCGCGTATTTTCCTTCCATTCATGCTTCCACTATTGTCAACACAAAACACAAATTCAAATTGTAGATTATCGTCAGACATTGTTTGTTCGAATTGTTGTTGTTGTTGGTTTTTGTATTGATTTTTTAATGCTGAACGTAAACGTGTTAATAGCATATTTTGAATATTTCGTGTAAGTCGAGCCAGTAGAGCATATCGTGGTTTATCCAATTTCGTATCTGGTAAATCTTCTGGACGACAATCTTCACTGATCTGACCAATATCATATTCATTGACCAATTGTAAAAGATTTTGGAACTTATCGGCAGAATCTTTTTTCAGATTTTCTAATTGTTCTTTAGTGATAGTTATTTTTGAACTATTTTCTTTAGGTTTCGTATCGGTCGTTGCTGAATTTCCATCAATATTCTTCTGGAATTGAACATACATAGTCTCTACTTTTGCTAATGGTTTTTCTAATTCGGTACTTTTCACTATTCCCTGATCGTCAATTTCTAAAGTAATATCACGATCAGCAGTTGGCGGTGTTGATGGATCTATTTCTGAACTGCCTTTTGTGTCGTCATTATCATCATCATGAACTGAATTCAAATCATTCGGTACAAGATTGTCAAGAGGAATTCCCAATTTGTGTAATGTTGAATTGCCAATTATTTTACCTTGTTCAAATTTTGAATCCTCAAATCCTTGTATGAGCTGTTTCATATTATCAAGATTTGTTTGTTGCCGTTGATCTTGCGCTTGGTAATTTAAATCAGTGATATGACCATCTTCGGGTATATCATAGTTGTCGACCAATTCATTTTTCTTACTTAGTTTCCACATTTTACGCAAGGATTTGGATTCACTTAATTTATCCAAAGTTTGAATCAAATCTTTTTGTATTTCTTGACATTTTCGTTTGATGTGACCATTGATATCACCCGAGCATTTTTCGATCTGCTGCAATAATTGATACAATTGCAACGATGTTTTAATAACACTGGGTAAGGTTGTCTGAGCCAGACTTTTGATTTCTTGTCTCATATTATTTGCAGCCATCTGTTAGAGAGCATTCATTATCGCTTGAATTTTATTATTGATCGTTGTTGCTGTTACTAAACACGTTATTGTTTCCGACAATAATAATTCCTCTTGCTTCATTATATGTGATACTTTTTTTTCTGATTCTTGACTTAATTCAGCAGCTTCTCTTGCTAATGTTTCCACTTCAGTTTTTACTGCTTCTCCTGCTGTTGAAAATGTTTCACCCATTAGGAAAGGACTTTGTGGAACAGTAGACTCAGATAGTATTATTTCACTAGGCTCTACTGAACTGGCATCTAGTGTTGGAGTAAAACTGATCGTATGACGAGAAGTGTTGCCTTGTGTTGTTTGGTCTACAGACACCTGTTGATTGATTCCAGATCGATCAGTATGCGATGGAATCTCAGTTCCAGTGAACGAGGTACCAGTTGAATGAAAAGCACTGCCGAAAGAAGAGTATTCTCGAGATATATCGCTATTTGAACTGGTCCTACTTCCTGCTTTGACAGTGCCTCTATTAATTCCACTGTTTGTCCTTGCGCTGCCGCCACCACTACTACTTGCTCCACAACTGTTGCTACCACTGGTTCCACTGGTCCTACTTCCTGATGTGCTAGTGCTGCTACTGGTCCCACTACTTGTACTTGTGCGATCGCCACTGCTACTACTTGCTCCACCTTCACTCGTGCCGCTACTCCTTCCACCGTTACTGCCACTCCCTCCGCCGCTGCTGGTGCCGCTACTTCCACAACTACTGCTTCCTGCTGTACTGATGGCGCCATTGCCTCCCCTACCATCACTTTGACCATCTCCAACGCTAGTGCCTTCACCACTTGTACTACCACTACCATCACTTCGGCTACCTTCAGTGCCATTACCTCCGCTACTAGCACTTCCGCCATTTCCACTGCGATTACCTCCGTTACTACTACTTCCGTCATTTGCACCACCACTACATCCGCTATCTCCATCACCATTACCTCCACCACCACAGCCGCCCAGTCTTTTGAAGGCATCGAAGAGTGTGAAAGCTAAGATGATGGCTACTAATACAAATCCAACAGGATTTGTAGCGGTCAGCAGTAGAGCGACGGCACAGATAATATTAATAGCAATTTTAACCGAATCCGGTATACTAGGTGTGAGCTCTTCCAGCAGTATCAATGCAGCAGCCGCAAGTGAACTGATGCATGCTGCTTTAGATGCTAATGTTGCTGCTTTCATTAGAGTTGAAACATCTTCAATAATTTTTCGAACATTTTCGTAGACAATCTTCGCTTTTTGAACGAAATCGACCCCATAGTTATCGACATCAATGACAGTCATTAAATTACCGAGCAGATCAAGATATTGGTCACCCGATAAACGCTTTCCATTTATCAAAGCTGATACTAAAGGTTTAGCAGCTTTCATTATTTGCTGTCCTTTGTCACTAATAAAGGAACCAGCGCCATCCATCATGTCCTCGTAGCTTATTCGTTTATTGTTGAGTTTTTTGTGCAGTAAAAGTATGACCGGCCGAATAGCATTATTAATCTTTGGCGGAAGCAAAGTGGTAATGGTAGTCATTGATTGATCTACTATCTTTTTTGGATCTTTTGATCGAAACGAATCGATTAGACTGACTACCTTGTCTACTTTGTCAGCGTATTCTGGCGGTAAAAACGATGATCCAAGCTTCAATGCATGCTTCGTTAATTCTTGTTTCGCTGAGTCTTTATGATTAACAATCGTTCGTAATTCTTGGGCTATGCCATAGACTTGTTGAATTTCTGGCGGTAAACGTGATTTCAATTCATCATTGTTCAAGAGACTATTAAATGCCTGTAAAGGGTCATTTGTTTGTGATAAAATTCGGGTAGCTGAATTTGTGATAGTCATAGCTGTGTCAATTTTTGTAGCATATTCTGGAAAATGTTCTTTTGCGATTTGATGAACTGCACCTTGCAGATTACGATTTTGTATCTGATTGATAACATTCTGCGTGACAGCTAGTGTTTTTGCTGTTTTCTCGTTCACAATTCCCATAGCTGCATTAAATGCACAATTTAAAAGATTCTCATGTGTTATTTCTTGTTTTGCTAGTTTTGCTAAAGCATCTACCATTTTGTGAGCTTGTTCTCGAACATATGGAAGAAGTCTAAGAGCATCTTTGATGGCATCGATCCCCTGATGATTGGCTAGTTTTTGATAAACATTAACAACATTTTGGAGCGTTTTAGATGTTTTCTTCGGCGCCATAACTGATGCTAATTCTAATATTGTTTTAACAACATCTTTCAATTCACATGTTTTCAGTTGACTGATACTTTCAGCGGTATCGAAAATTGTTTTTGCGTGTTCATTCGGTAACAATCGTGATAATTGTTTTAATGCTTGTAATTTGTCCGATTTTAATGAATTCAAAGCATTGAACGATATTTGCAAAGCATTGCCAGTTTTTGATCCGTATAAGTCACGTATTTTTTGAACGACTTGTTCTTGAGCAGTTTCCGGAGACGTTAATTGTTTAATACCATCATTAAATCCTGGTCGGAGCTCTTCTGGAAGTAGAGCTGCAATCGATTTCAATGCTTTAATTTGTTCGGTTTTGCCTTGATCGAGTATTTTACTCAAACTAATATCATGCATATCTGAGAATTCAGTAGTAAGAATTTGTTGTGCTAAATCGACTAGTTTTTGTTTGATATCACCATTGAGAATTTCTGGAGCAGATAACAAAATACATTTGATATGATCAGACAATTGTTGATCGGGTATGATATCGAATAGTTCAATGACAATATTCATGGTTATATTTTTGTTATTATTCAAAGTATGTATTACCTTTGATATTGTTCGTAGAAATTGTTTTATATGCTGATCGAGAATCAGATCAGTTGTGTGATCGATTAATGTTTTAATGTTCAATCGAGTCAATTCACCATTCATAACTGGTATCAAATTTCGATATGTTTCGAGTAATGTATTGAGATGATCGAGAGTCGTATTTTTATTGATGCTATCACGCAAACGATTGGTTAATTGAATTCCTAATTCTAAAACTTGAAATTGTGTTATTGTTGTCATTGAATTAATATTTTCAATGATTTCTATTAATGCATCGTTGGCTAATTTTTCTTTATTTGTTGGATAAATGATATTACATAGATCCGAAATGTTTCGCATTATTCCAGCAATGTTACCGTTTTGAATATTACTGGATATCTTCATTAAGTAATTATGAAGTATCTTGGGTTTGATTTGCTTTAATTCTTTTAACGGGTGCGCCATAAAGAATGGCCGTCTCAGTATTTTGCTTATAACTTGGTTTCGATTTGTTTCCGAGACTCGATGTTTTTTTAAAAGATGCGCTGCGAAATTCTCTACAAATCATACCTAAACTATAATTTCAGAACTTCAATCAAGAAAACTAAGCCAGTTAGATGAAAGTAGAAAAAAATGTAAACTTTCTAAACTCAAAAATGGTTTCTTGTATTAACGTTTTGAAAGTTAGAAAAACTGAATTAGCCACTTTGTAACCCTGACTTCGCTCTATGTTTTAGCTACATGTTATGTAAGGAGATCCTCTTACATAAGCAACCAAGTCAGATATCCTTATATAAGATCCTACATTGTATCATATCTGCTTTGACACATATTAAAGACTTGCCATAAGAGACAATTGTATGATAGGT